ATATTTAGTGTCACTTAGATTAGAAAAAAAAATAACTTAGAAGTGGATTTATCCATATTTTACTACATCAGAGGGGAGAAACTTTAAGAAAAAAACGCCGATAATTATTTCAATCGATATTGACTCTGAAAATAATGTGAATTTTTGAAAAATCCTAGTTCAGATTCTCTGGAGAAGCCTTTACTTTATATATAAGCTAAATGTTATTATCGAAGTATCTTTTATAAAAGGAGAACATTGTGAAAAAAGATTATTCTAAGTTAATTTTTTTGCCAAAATATTATATTTAAATAAGTTTTTTTTGCCATAATGTTCTTACGAAAAAACATTTTATACATGTATTCTAATTTAATTGACACTAAATACCATGAAAATTATCCATTTATGCACTTTTTAAAGTCACGGTTACGAAGTAGTCGGATACCTTAAAATAGTGTAGATAATTTACAGTGTAGATATATCTGGATGTTTAATATATTAAAATTAATTTCTATTGTATTTATTTTATGATAAAAGTTATATTTGCAAGCAACGCTGCCCCTTAGATTATAACAGGGTTTCAATGGAAACAGCAAGATAATGGCATTAGAGCGAAGTTGACATCATTTTTAGCCACCCTGTTGGTGACTTGGCGATTGATTGAACGCTCTCTCTCTTTTATATATATATATATTTAAATGGTTCAATCGTAGAAGATGTGATTTTTGAAGATTAATTTTGGGATTCAGTCAATTCTTACTGTTAGCTTTTAGACAATTCTCTCTTTATATATATATATATATTTAAATGGTTCAAATTTTGAATCGTTAATGCACCCAGAAGAAAAAACTTTCCATTCATCAATCAAGTTCAAATAAATTTGTTTAAACTTGTAGTGGTTGACACTTGATGTTAATACAGTTTTTTTCATGTATTAATTCATTAATTAAATTAATTACGGAGGATGGAACACAAATGATTTTTGACGCCAACTTAGATTAATCTCCATTGCCATCAAGAGCAACAATGTAACTCCGCTAAGATTAAAACAATGACAAAAGTTGGCGACGAAACCAGTTTTTTAGCCAAGAGGCGCGCACGATCCGGCATTTATTGTCGAGCGGCATACAGCAATTTCACAAGGTGTGACATTGTTACAACAATGCAGACAAATCTACCCATGCTATCAAGTCGCCCAGGTGCCATTTATCAACTTTAGACAATTCTTAGTATTAGTTCAGGTCACCAGATCTTTTCGCCAATAGAGCATGTCTCCCTGGGAAGGCAACTATATACAGGAGAATTAATATATATAAGTGATCTATTGAATTTATATATATATGATTTTTAACCTTTTGCAAGCTGTAACCGCTTATAAAATATATTTTGTTCTGAATATATTTGTTTATTTTCATATACACTACATGCATACCAAATTTCGTGAATGTAGCTATATATATTTTATATATATATATATATATATATATATATATATATATATATATATATATATATATATATATATTGTTCAAATTTTCAATCGTTAATAAAATACTTTCTATTCATCCATTCAAAGTAGGAATCGACTTAAAAGTTTTTTTATATTACTTGTTTTGTAAATTTTGCTGTTATATATATTCTGTATTTTAAGGATTGTTTCTTGACAACGAATTTTCATCGCACTATTTTGCTCTTAAAGACTGATATCATAAAATCCTCTACGTAGCATGTGAACTATCATTCTAGTGTTGTAAATATTCTAATCTGAAGATGTCCATTGTGTTTAAGTAAGAAAATAACTTTAGTTGTAAGTTGTAATATTGAAAAAATAATTTATATATATAATTTTTTTAAAAAGAAGCCTATTTTTTCTTGTCAGCAATAGAATAGAAGTAAAATGTTAACATTAGGATTGCGCGAATACAATTAGATACTAGAATAATAAATATTTCAGAAAGAAATATTTTAAAATTTTTTTGAAATGTCCATCATCAAATGATATTCTGATGTGAAAAGTTAAGCATAAACGTGTCGTATATTTAAAACTCAAACAATAATTTACATTATTGTCTTTGGTGTTATTAATTATACTATATGCTTATGATGTACATATATCGGGATTGAGCCTCAGAGGGCAGTAAGTTCCCGGTGTTTTCGGATGATCCATCTGTTTTTCTTCTTGACCAGCATTTCTCGTTTCATTATTATGTATTCCAACTCGCTAAGATGATACTCAAATAGATGATCCTGTAAAATAAAAGAAATTAAAATAAATTTTTTGATAAAAATATCTACTTATTAGACTCATCGTAATGCACAGTGGCGTATATAAGGTACCCCATCCCCCCTCATAGATCAACAGATTTTTAATTTTCACCATAGAGATTATATTTCGGTCGTCTTCATCAACGCGTTTTTTAGAATATTACCCCATATTCAATAAGTGAGGGCTGTACACGCTCACTGGAGTAACTAGTTCTGAGTGGGCCCCCTATCAAAATTCCTTCAGAGCTCTTCGTTAGATAGGAGAATCCTGTTAGTGGGACTGTAGTTACACATGTTTTGGCCCCTGTAGCTTGGGGAGAGAGGCCCATATCATTGATACGGCTGAGGCGGTGGTAGCTACGTCCCTGAGTACACTACTAGTATTGAGAATGGATTGGGTAAATCTTTTAATCACAAAACTGATTAACATAGGTCAGAGATTGTACAATGTGGAATTTTATTGGAATATTTTAACCCTTTATAAGGCCGTGGGACGTATACTTCCCACCAACTTCATTAATGTTTAAATGTTAAAAGAAAGCTATTTCCTCATCTATGATTTGTACTGCTGGAACTTTGGCTCGCACGACAACTGATTTCTCAATTTTTAAACTGTAAACGCATAGAAAACCCTTAAAGTTTGTGACAGGTCTTATTCGCTCCCTTTCACTAATACTCTTGGGGAAAAAGACTTCTTTTTCTGTTGCTTGAGTTTAAAACCGACTTCCGTAGAGAGAACTTGATTTTAAGCTAATTTAGGGCTATTTAAACTCTAGAAAAGAGAGTATTAGAGTTAATCTTTAGGCTGTTATTAAAGTAAGATTAACAAAGCGCCATTCGGAAACCTTGGTGAAAAGAAGAAGTTTTAGGCTAGAATATAGAGAGGACGCAAAAGAGATTTGACGAGCGCTCTCCATCGGATCACACTTAATTACGGTATTCGGTATTTTTTTAGATCTTAATACCGGTAATTTTAGAAAAAAGAAAGAAAACACAGGTGGGGTTTTTTTTGCTAGTTAATTTTTAAAAAAAAATTAAAAAAATTTGCTATGAGCTTGATCAAATTTGAATTGGTTTGTCTCTTTTCTTCCTTTTTATTTTCAGTTTTAAAATCATTAGAATTATGTAAATATCGTAAGACATTTTCTATTTCGGTATGCCTTTCTCCTGTGCAATTTTGCAATGGAATACATACTTCTTCAGATAGTGATGTGTGTGTTGTTCTTTCAGTGACTGCAACATGAAATTTAATGTTGCATTAGTGTTAATAAATAAGAATCTCTCCGACGTAATGCCTAGCCAGTTTTATTGGAAGTAGAGCTGATATAGTTCTTGATATTAAGTCGAATTCACTATCGGAAAAATTAATTTGCAGGTTTAAGTCGATCAATGCTTTTTGGATTAAATTTTTCAAATTCAAAAACCGTTTCACATCATTAGGAGTAAACTGTTCTAATGTGTTTTAGAATCTAATATTAACATATGTTCTATTTCTAGTAAATACGAAAAAAACCGGTATTTAAACTTGTGAATACCGGTATTACAAAATTGTACAAATGGCTCAAAATACCGGTATTCGGTATCCCGGTGTACGGGTATTGCAATCCCTACACTCAGTGAAGTGTTTAATTATTTGTCTTACGAATTTAAGATAATAAATTAATTTAACTTCCTCCTCAGTTTGTAATCTTGAATGATAGTGAATTGATTGAATCAAATAACATTGATTATTTTTATAACCATGCCTGTTGATTCGGTGGCCCAAACTTCATCTGCCATCTTCGGGTCACGACAAGTTTCCCTAGCAGCAAGAAAACTGTTCCAAATGATGTGCGATTAACTAAAGTCAGTGGGCCACGACAAAAAACACAGAAACGTCCCCGTTTATACACTTGAAAAGGGAACAAGATACGTTTGTAAGGCTTGCAATGTCTATTTAAGTGTTGATCTCTGTTTTCTGAAATTTCAGGGAAAATAATACGTATAAAGTTTTAGAATACAAAATAAATTTTATTTATAAGTCGTTTTGTAGATTTTAGTGTTCGTAAATTATATTTCTTATAAATATTATGTAATGCGATGTACAAAAAGAAAAGTAAAACTTAAGATGTCCTAGTTTTGAATAGCTCCTAGAATATACCAGAATATACTTCTGGTATATACTTCTGGAGAAATATACTTCTTACCTTAAAAATCGAATTTATTTTGAGTAGTAAACTGAATTCCTATATTATTAGTTCACTCTCTCCCTATATATATGTGTGGGATGAATCCTCAGCTCTTTATATGTCAGTTGGGGTAAAATTCCTACCAAGACAACTCAACTCATCTCCAGCATAAGTACTTTGACTTCCACTTCAGTGAACTTACTGAAAACACGTGGACGAACGGCTCTCTCTCTCCTGATCGAAGCTTGAAATAGTACTCGTCTCTTGTCATGGCTTGGGGTACAGAACGATTTTCTGAATTATTGATTTAAAGTACCATTTAAAAAGTCGCTGCACGTTTAATTACTCCAAGTCATGATATATATAAATCTTATTAAAATTTTCAATCCTTAATAAAATACTTTTTATTCATCATTCAAGTACAAATACCTTTTTTAAAAACTTGTAGTGACTTTTAAACCTCTTAACACTTGATGTTAATACAGTTTTAGCAAATATTAATTAATTCATTAAATTAAAATTGAATAGATAGCAACAAACAAAAAGAATAATCCAACAGCATATATAGAAAGGAAAATCGTTTGCTGTTTCTTTGTAGCTCAATGGATAGCGCATTGGACTTTTAATCCAAAGGTCGTGGGTTTGAATCCCACCTAGGACGACCTAATTTCTGAGGATGTGATTTTTTTACTGTACAATTTTATTAGAATAATAAAATTAAATTAATGAATAGATAGTAACAAACAAAACATAATAGTACAACACCCTATACAGAAAGGAAAATGAAAATCGCTTTCTATTTTGTCATTTAATATTTTAGTCTGTCATATGTATATACATATTTGTATTAATTGTATCTATTTAATAAAAAGTAACTAAAATAAAAATTTTCTTTGTTGACCTAAGTAGGAATTGACTTTAAAATTTTTTTATATTATATATACTTGTTATAAAAATAAATTTCAATCTCAAAAATATTTTAACATAGCATTACGGAAGAAATGCACCTACGAGTATAAAGGGTTAGGTAAGAGTGCTACAGTTTTAATATGAAACATGTATACGATTAGAATACTCTTTTGCGTGACACATAAATAAAATCTCTAACATTAGATAACACTGAATGATATCTTGTAATAGGGGGGGAAAAAGGAATATTTTCTGACTCACAGAGGCATCTTTCTTTAGTAGTGACAAGATATAGTTGAAACACAAGAGACAATGAAACGGCGATTCAAATTTATGAACGTTTTGAAAAAAAAAAATGAGTACCTTGTAAAAGCTTGTAAAAATAATTCCTTTTGGAAAACAATTTAAAAAGTATGAATTTTTAATGAATTTTTAACATATTGTTGAAACTCTTAAAGCAATCAATTTTTTTTGTCCAAAATATTCCACAAAAATCCCATTTTTTTTAGTTGCAAATAATTAACTATTAATACTCAACAAAATGTGAAAATGAAAGAATTTTATTTTAGTTTTCATTTTTAAAAAGTCTTCACATTATTTTTTATTTTATGATTTAGGAACACAAAAACTCTTAAATGTTTGCTTTTTATGCGTACACTTTGCACACTATGAAGAATATTTCATATATCTTAAAAGATAGTTTATCTCACACTTTCAAAAAGATTTTATGTTCGTTCCTCTTTTTCAAACGGTTTCGGGGTTTTGTTTTTTCCTATATATCAGCACAATGTGAAGCATGGTGTAATACTAAGTCTTGCATTGCAATGGACAGAGACTATATTGGCTTTTTTGGATTATCTGTTCATTTCCATTCCTTTTTAAGCAAAAAAAAAATTGCACTCTCTGCCTTGCCAATTCCTGTTCTGTATAGAATATTTTCAAAATTCAGGGGTACCCTTGTATGCTTAACGGTGGACCTACTCCTATTGTTCAAATCTATAGTTGTTTACCCTCATTGCTCAAACTGTGTGTAAAACTGTAATGTACATGTATTATGTAATTCAATTAATTTGTCTTTGATATGTGTTCCTACATAAGTAAAGCATCATTGTCTCATTAAAAAATATCTTAATCTGTTTGGTATAATTATTAACGCCCATGTTGGAGACCAATTTTGGTGAGTTGGCGAACACATGGAAAACTTTCTGGGTGTGTTTGCCTAGTTCTGATCCATTCCTCTCTAAAATCCAACGATAGTGTAATGTTTATTTTTGAAAAAATAGGTACTTTCAGAAAAAGTTTCAGAAAACTTTTTGTAACTATTAGGTGTACAACTTTGCTTCCGCCGTTTTTTCCCGAAATTCGAGGCTTTATTGTAAAAAACTGATTATACATTTATCATTCAATAATTGCGTTCGATAAGGATCGCCTGTGATTGTTTCAGTCGAGAATAACTTTATGTTTGTTCGAGACATGTTTAATCGAGAATAACTTTATGATGCAGATACAAATCGACTAATATTTCGATGGCGTTATGTTTACAAATACCTAAGCTTATTGTATGACATCTACGATCTATTTATTTCGACTACCACTTACCGCTACAGCCATCTATTGCAAAACGGCGGAAGCAAAGTTGTACACCTAATACGTTAGTATATAATTTATGTATTTACTAAAATGATTTTAGAACACAAAATAAAAGTCTGACTAGAAAAAAATTAATAGTTGAAATAACTCTCCATATCCTTTTTTAGATAAATTTTATGAAAAATACATTCATTTTAGAACTACTGAGACAGAGAAATCACTCCCAGAACTTTTTTACATAGAATCTTAAAATATAATATGTTGAATTCACACGAAAATCGTTTGCTTTGATCGCAAAAAAGAACAATTGTATTCTTTCAGTAGCTGTACGTTACAAACGTTTCCATAAATTTATGAGATATTTTTAAAACATTTGTCATAAAAATTTATCTACGATCGTATATCACTCCTACATATGTATTGAACTTTCAATGGATGTCTAGATATGCGGTCTTGTGATCTCAATTAATGATTTAGCAAGATTTTAAAAATAATTGTCTGAAAAAACATTATTGTCTTTAAATTGCAAAAAAAAAACTTGAGTTTAATTCACACTCTGAAATAACAAGAGGGTTTCACAGCCAACCTTTCAGAAGAAGAAAATCGTGGTATTCATAATAACTTACTATATATAATCGAGGTTTTCTAGCTTGAAAAGAGAGTAGGAGAGGAAATAAACCTGATTCAGGTGAGATTGTTACTGATAGATATCCTATTGGAATGATTGTGAATAAGAGATTTATTAGAAGGAAGCTTTAAAGTGACGATAGATCACTGAGGTTAAATTGAAATTAGATTAAATCGGATGATAGGTTAGATCTTTTATAAAGTAAGGATCGAGTTCGATAGTCTCCTAATCATTCGTGTTTTGCCGACGTTGTTCCACTTTCGTGGTTAGTATCGATACATTCTCTTACTGATATTAGTTGAAACTGTGTCTTTTCATTGTGTGTTTAGTGTACGTATGTAAATGTAGAGTACTCTCTAGCGCTCAGAGTGTCTAACGAATCTGTGTAACCTCTGACTCCATCGAAAAAGGAGTCAAATCGAGCGAGCTGAGCAACAAAGTAATAAAAACTACAGTCCACTGAGAGAGACTTTTTGAGTTCTTTACTTGTGATCCAACATTCTGGTCCAGTCTCAACCGGAGTGACCTATGCATTGAAAATACGAGGTATGTGCTGTTGTTTTTTGACTTTTCGTTGAAAAATCGAACTTTAAACTTTAACGATGTTTAAAGGAGCAAAAAAAAAAGAAGACTTGAGGCGAATCGCTTCTGAATTAGAGTTGTGTGTGAGTGATAAATTAACTGTTTTAGACTTCATGGATCTTATAAAAAACTGTGATCGATACAAAAACGATCCTGATTCCGTGCATGAGTTAGCAAATTTAATTATCGAAGAAAGGAAGTATGACGAAAGTCAGCAATTAGAGTTAGAAAAAATAAGAGAAAAGTCTAAGCTTGATTTAGAGATAATCAGAATACGAGCAAATGATAAAGACAATAATACTGAAGTTAATTGTAATGATTCCTCTTCTTTAGATTCTTTAATTAAAAGTATCCGCACACTTACAGTGAAAATTCCCGACAAACCTGAGGGATGGAGTTTCTTTTTTTTATCATTAGAACGTGCATTTGCAGCCAAAAGTGTTACTGATAAATTTAAGCCTGAGATTTTGTTAAATTTATTAGGAGAAAAAGCTGCAAATATCATTATATATCTGAAAGATGAGGATCTTAAAAATTATGATAAAATAAAGTCCATAATACTCCAAGAATTTGAGCCAACTCCTCAATCGTATTTAGAGAATTTTAAGAAAGCAACACGGCAAAATTGGGAATCCCATGTCCAGTTTGCAAGTAGATTAACAACAAATTGGAAATACTATTTAAAATTGAGAGATGTTTCAAATTTCGAGGTATTAAAACAATTAATAGTTTCAGACAAAATATTTAGTACTTTAGATAAAGAAACCGCATCGCATATTAGTGTCAGACAAGCAGATAAATGGTTTGATCCTTTAACGTTGGGAAAAGAAATTGATTTATTTTATTCATCGCGAGGAAAACCACTGAGTGAGAGTATTAATTATTGTCGCAAAAATCAAAATTCTAAGAATATGTCTAGAGTATTTTTCTCAGATGTCAAGGGCAAAAAATGTGTTTTGTGTCAATCTGATAGTCATTTTTTAAATAAATGTCCTCAATATAAGCAATTATCAGTAAATAAACGGGTAGAACTTGTTAAAAATAATTCCTTGTGTTTTAATTGTTTAAATTTGCATAGAGTCAAGTTTTGTAAATCTAAAGTTCTTTGTAAATGCTGCCAAAAAAGCATCATTCTTCTTTGTGTTTCCCTGGAGACCCAAATTTTACGAGTGAAAGGGTCATTCAACCTTCTTCATTGGGGGTGCAAAAAGAGCCGGAAACAGAGGAATCCTCGATGAGTCAACTTTCAGCGAAGACGTCTGTGTTCAAACCCATAAATTACATAGGGGAGATTGTCTTCTTCTCAGGGTGTAGGAGATCTGTTTACACTGCAACGAGTTACGTAAAATCGAAATCCGTTTTACTTTCAACCGCGATTTGTTTCATTAGAGATTCCTTTGGAAAAATGCAGGAGGTCAGAGCGCTGTTGGACGGTGGTTCAACAAGCAATTTTATTTCGCAACAGTGTATGAATAGACTCAATTTAAAAAGAGAGAAAATAAGCATTTTAGTTTCAGGATTAAATAATTCAGAGTTAACGATTAAATCGCGCGTTAATGCAACAATTGCAAATAGAGGAAATAGTTATGAAACTAATGCAGACTTTTTTGTAGTGCCGTGAATTACGGATATGATTCCTTCTCAACCATTTAACGTTAGTTTGGGTAATTTCAGTAGAGAGAAATTAGCGGATGAAAATTTCAACATTCAGGGAAATATTGATTTATTGTTGGGAGCAGAAATCTTTTATGAAATTCTTTTACCAGGACAAACAAATCTTTTAAATACAAAATTAATTTTTCAGAATATAGTCTTCGGCTATATTGCGAGTGGGAGTATTCCAGTTTCTGGTGAAAATAAACCTCACTGTGGGTTAATCAAAGATAATGTCGATTTAGAAAAGACAATGAGGAGATTTTGGGAAATCGAAAATGTTGAACCTGAGACAATAA